GCTATAGTCACTCTACATGGATAGCAATTAACTTTAATATTCTATTGCACATTATATCTAAGCAAAATGTATAGGTTATATTAATTTGAAGTTCGAATTAATTTTTCCGATTATTCTGGCAGCACTTGAATGCAGCATTTCCGTTACGTCTCCCGCATTTGTGTTCACCTGTTGCGTCCCGGTTAGCCTATCGAGTCGATGTGTGCTGAGACAGGACGACTGAATCTGGTGAGTGAGCGACCACACTGTGTTTTAATATTTGATTTTAAAGTTGCCACTGTGTGTTAGTTGGCTGTTGAGGGTGAAAAATGTTGTTTTAATCAGCTAAGATTATATGCTAACGTTCATCACATTTTAGCTTCAGAGTAGAGAAAACAACATTTTAACCAGTTAAAGACATTTTCTCTCCATAGTCCATAGATTTATCTGCAGTGGCTGTTTGTGAGCAGTAAAAACGTTGTTTTAACCAGTAATATGGATATTTCCACTTGCTAGAGACTTGTTAGCTCGGAAGCTAATGGAAATTGCAGTTTACAGCAGTTAAATATAATATATAAATATTTTCAACTGATATTTTTTTTGTTTTTTTGTTTTTGTCTTTCCACCTACTGTGCTGGAGAGTGAGCTGAAGTTTCCTGATTCTCCTCATGGATGCAGCCTGATTAATCTGCATTATTTTATAATTAATTTAACATGTTACTTTGACAGCCCTAAAAGTAATTAAAAACTGTGGAGAAGTCAATAAATGTATTTCATAACTATATGTGATTTAGTTATGTCCACTATCTTGCAGACCACACAGCCAACAGACATAAGGTGCCTTTGTCTTCGGGGACTGCCAGTCATCTTCGGGGATGATCCCTCTGAATTCTTCTAAACCTTCCCTGTAAGTAACTACATTTGTTGTAAATGATGCAGGTGCATTGTTTTAGTGATTAAAGGTCCAGTGTGTAATATTTATGGTGATTTATTAACAGAAATGTAAAATAATACATATAACTATGTTGTTAGTGCTATATAGTCACCCTATGAAACGAGTCGTTACGTTTTTATTACGTCAGATTTTGCATTTATGTGTACATATACCTCGGGTCCCCCTACACAGAGGCTGACATCTTCCGCTGCACAGTAGCGATTCGCCGCTACTTTGCCAAGCGAAGAAGAAGGCGGATGTGACGTAGGAGGCGGAGGAACGCCGTGTTTACTAGTTGTTAACGGCTAACTTTGTTGTGTTTTCTTTCTGTCAGGACGCAAGTGACAAGGACTTGTACAGTCAGATGCGAGTGGGAATCTTCTGCATTGACGAAAATCCTCAGCTCAACCCATCCAGAGTAGGCATCGTCTTGGAGGGGGTTGTGGTCATGGAGGAGCTGGCCAACCTACCACAGGCCTTTTTGGACTGATTTATGCCTTGCACTTAGATTACCCTAAATGCATGAAAAACACCTTCCAGTTCATTCAGCAGGTGATGCTCAACCTGGGCAGAGGTGAGCTTGCACCAAAAATCCAAACACTGAAAAATCAACTCTCTGTCTAAAACAGTGTTCTGAAATATACCACTGTTCCAAATACCAGTGCTTGGTGCTGTTGCATGTCTAAAATGCCATGTTTACTGTTTTGCACTGTTTGTGAAATGTTTTTAAGTATTTCCACTGTCTTTGTGTCTTTCTGATGATGATCAGATGATGGTATTTGTACTCATCTAGCAGTTTGGTTCCATCCGTATTGCTAGGCATGTTTTATGGTTTTATTGTGGTTTTATTATTAGCAGGACTTAGGGTCCTTGTAGTCCTCCAGCAATCCTGTCATAGTGGGAGCATGGAAGACACTGGCATTGTGCACATCAAAGCTAAAGTTGTGGTTCCACTTTCCAATTTGTGCATGTAGAGAGCAGCAGAAGTTAACAGAGAAGAGGCAGTCTTCTTTCCCTTCTAAAATATGTTATATACCGCCAGGGTCAACCAAGAACAAATAATATGGTTTAAAAATGTTTCCTGTGCCCCAAGTTAAAATAAAACATGAAAAGAATGTACTTTTGTGTTTTGCTTTTTATTTTCTTAATTTAGAATTTCTGGTGTAAAACAGTTTAATGAAATGTAATTTTGTTTTTTACTCTTAAGATACTAGGTGGAGTAATTGGGTAAATTAACATTACAAGTGATTTCAAGTGAAATCAACTTGGAGGTTAGTGCACTGGGCTTTCAATTTTAAGTGGAATAAATGAGCAATGAAATTAATATTACAAATGATTTTAAGTTAAATCTACTTGGAGATAAGTGCATTGAGCTTTACATTTTAAGTGGAATAAATGAGCAAATACATTTATATTACAAATGATTTTAAGTTAAATCAACTTGGAGGTTAGTGCATTGAACTTAAAATTTTCATGAAACATTACTTAATTTTTTTAGGGCAACCGGTTTACTCAAATTTTTTAAGTAAACCCAACTTATCCAGGTTTACAGTGTATCACAGACAGATGCAGAAAAACTAATCCATGCATTTGTTACTTCTAGGCTGGATTACTGTAACTCTTTATTATCAGGTTGCCCCAATAAGTCCATTAAAACGCTCCAATTAATTCAAAAGGCTGCAGCACGAGTACTGACAGGAACTAGAAAAAGAGATCACATCTCTCCTGTACTAGCTTCTCTGCATTGGCTCCCTGTAAAATTTAGAATAGAATTTAAAATTCTCCTCCTCACCTATAAAGCTCTTCATGGTCAGGCCCCTTCATATCTTAAAGAGCTCATAGTACCCTATTACCCCTCTAGAACACTGCGTTCTCTGAATGCTGGGCTACTTGTGGTTCCTATAGTCTCTAAAAGTAGAACAGGAGCCAGAGCCTTCAGTTACCAAGCTCCTCTCCTGTGGAACCAGCTTCCAGTTGTGGTTCGGGAGGCAGACACCCTCTCCACATTCAAGAGTAGGCTTAAGACATTCCTCTTTGATAAAGCTTATAGTTAGGGCTGGATCAGGTGAGTCCTGAACCATCCCTTAGTTATGCTGCTATAGGCCTAGACTATCGGGGGATTTCCCATGGTGCACTGAGCTCCTCTCTTCCTCTCTCTTTCTGCACTCATTCATGTCCCATTAATGCATGTTACTAACTTCACTTCTTCCCCGGAGTTCTTGTGCTTTCTCGTCTCGCAGGTTCTTATCGATCCTGGTGGAGCCTCCTGCCATGGTCCTGCTAGATTGCCATTGCCAATACTGTTGTTGCTGATTTGCCGTTGTGTTTTCTCTTTTTGTGTTGTGTTTTCTGATTTGCCGTTGTGATTTGCACCTCAGGGCCACCGTACTTCTGTTATGAATTGGCGCTATACAAATAAAATTGAATTGAATTGAATTGAATTGAACATAAGCTCTCTGTCTCATAGCATAACCTATTTATTGAAGTAGTGAAGATTTCCATGGCAATGGAACAGTATGGGATGGTAGACCCTCAGGTGTTACCAGGGAAACAGAGTTATGGCTTTTTTTTTTTTTTTTTTTTTATGTTTTTGGAGGCTTTTATTGCCTTTATGATGGTGACAGCTAGGGACGGATGAGGGGGGTAGAGAAGCGGGGGATGACACGCAGCAAGGGGCCACAGGTCTGATTCGAACCCTGCGCCACTGCAGCATGGACTGGGTTACCAGCTCTACCCACTGAGCTAACCAGGCGCCCCCCGGCCATGGCTTTTAATCTAGAATGTTAGCGCTGCGTGAGTTCTCTTAACTTTTTGGCTCTTTTTGGTGGTTTTTTTTATAGTGTTTAGTGTTTTGCTGAAAGTGTGAAGCTATGGATTCACACTTGTTGTTTTTTTAACTTTTTGGTGCGGCGTCGGGAGACCCACTCAACCACGGCTCCATTGTTTACACCCGGGATCAGCTGTTAGCCCTGTGCCACACACCCCTTTGCTCTGCCGTAGCAGCAGGAGATCTCCAAGGAGATACGGCGAAGGAGAAGAGGATGCAGAGCGGGAGTAAAGTGCAGATGGAAAAGACGGTATAAACCATGTTTACCGTCTGTCATCATGGGGAACGTAAGATCTCTGCCCAACAAGATGGAAGAGCTTACGGCACTAACCCAGCTGCAGAAGGAGTACCGGGAATGCAGCCTCATGTGCTACACAGAGACGTGACTGAGTAAACTTTCTCCTGACTCATGCGTCCCCCTGGACCGATTTCAATCAATAACATTGCTGTAACTGTGTACATCCCTCCCTCGGCCGTCGCTGCTGCAGCTACAGATCAGATCTGCACTGTCGTCTCCAAACTTCAAAACCAGCACCCCCAATCCCTCCTCCTCATCTCCGGTGACTTCAACCATACTTCCCTTCCCCCTTCACTTGGTCACTCAGATCACAACCTTGTCCATCTGGTCACAGACTACACCCCTGTGGTGAATAAACAACCACCTGAGAAGAGGCCTGTGAAGGAGTGGTCTGAGGAGAACAGTGCTAGGCTCAGAGACTGCTTTGAGACAACAGACTGGGAAGCACTCTGCAGCCCCCACGGAAATGACATTGACAGTATGACCCACTGCATTACAGACTATATTCATTTGTGTGTGGAGAACGCTGTGCCCTCCAAGTTGGTACCTTGTTTTCCCAACAACAAACCCTGGTTGACCTCCGAGATTAAGGCCCTGCTGAATGAGAAGAAGAGAGTCTTTAAATCGGGTTACAAAGAGTAGCTGCACAGAGTCCAGAAGGAAATCCAGCAGAAGATCAGGAAGGGGAAGGACAGCTACAGGAGGAAACTGGAGAAGCGGCTGGAACAGAACAACGGCAGGGACGTCTCGAGAGGGCTGCAATACATCTCAGGCCACGGGAAAGGAAAGGAAATCAACACCAGTCCACTCCCCCCCCAACCCACTCACCAGTTCACCACCCCCCCACCCCAGTCATCATCCACCCTCTCCATAACAGTTGATCAGGTGAGGTGTCAATTTAAGAAGACAGCATCAGCCTAAGACTGCTTAAAAATTGTGCAGACCAGCTCTGTGGTGTGATCATGCACTTGTTCAATCTGAGCCTGAGCCTGGAGAAAGTCCCAGCCCTGTGGAAGACCTTCTGTATGGTCCCCTGCTACACCTGGAGGACAACGGGATTACGGTGAGGGTCATGTTTTTTGACTTCTCCAGTCCTTTTAACACTATCCAGCCGTCACTGCTCCAACACCTGGCTGCATGGACAATAGACTATCTCACCAACAGACCACAGTATGTGAGGCTCCATCACTGTGTGTCTGACGTTGTGCTCTGCAGCACAGGTCCCCCTCGGGGTACGGTGCTATCTCCCTTCCTCTTCACCCTTTACACCTCGGACTTCACCCACAACTCCACACTCTGCCACATCCAGAAGTTCTCCGATGACACAGCCATTGTTGGATGTGTTTCTGAGGGGAATGAACCCACGAAGGAAGTGGGTGAGAGTGAAGCTGGCATCCATCATGGACAACACCTCTCACCCCCTACATGACACTGTGGGGTACCTGAGTAGCTCCTTCAGCAGCAGACTGTTACACCCTCGGTGTAAGAAGGAGGGGTTCCGCAGGTCTTTCATCCCTGACGCTGTCAGACTCTACAACACCTGATCAATGTTGTAGTTTCTGTTTTAAAAAAATTACCACCATACCATAGCTTTACCACTTTTATATTTGTATTTATTTATTTCACTCAAATGCTGCTGTGACAAGTGAATTTTCCCGTTGTGGGGTTAGTAAAGTAATCTATCTATCTATCTATCTATCTATCTATCTAAAAAACTTTAGATTTTGATTGAAAAACACATGGGAATACAAATGATCTTATTTTTTTCTTTAATCAGTGACCATGGTATAAGACTGATAATGTCCTTCGAGGTGTCCAATATCTTGAACAGTCGTAGACAGAGTTAGTTTGTGTTTAATCAGATTACCAGGCAGCAAACCGAAAGTAAGACTCCAGCATAATGCACGTTGCACAGAGCGTGGTAGTACTGGATGTTGGATCCGGAATAACCTGCAGTTCAGTCGTTGGCCGGATCAGTGACTCTGTGAGGTCTGAAAATAACATGTGCACCAAAACAAACAGCCGATAGTGTCACAGTCTGTATTTGGGCAGTTCCCAGAAATGCGGCACACTGGATTCTTGGAGCCGGCCGGCTGACTGAAGACATGACGCTTTCTGTTGCTGCCAGCCTGCTCTTGGCTCATAGACGGTGTGCTGTAATAGGCTTTTGTTCACAGCAAGCTGGAGGCATGTTTGGCACGCCGAGCTGCAATCAGACCCAGCTTGACCAGGCAGTGGCAAGCAAGAATGTTTCTCTGGACGCGTTTCCTGTGGGACGTCCCGGGGAGGACAGAGAGAGGCTTCATTACAGAAGAACAGGAACGCCACCTTCAGTGTGGAGAAATAAGAGACCTCGCCAGTGGCCCCACAAACCAGGAGAGGAGTCTGAAGGTTTATGTACAAAGTCCTCTGTTACTCTCAACAGGAATGAAAAAGAGTAAAGGACAGTTAGATCAATTATATTAAACCTACAGTGTGTACTTTCTTCCACTAGGAGTCTCTCACATCCAACAAACAATGAATTGTGATGAGGTGGTGAAGCAGTATGGGATCATGGGAGTTGTTGTCTTCACCACCATTGGCGTAATTGCAGTCAGCTTCTCCCGGTTAGGATTCCTTCAGTGTTCATGGTTCAGGAGGTTTCTACCAGGAGCCCAATGATCCACAGAGGTTTCCTCATCTCCAAAACAAACAGACCCGCTGATTAAAACCACTAAACACACTGAATAAAGCAGTTGCACCTTAAAAGTCACTGTTTCTCCCACACCATTGGACAGACAAAGGACGTCCCGGAGGGGCTGCGAGCTGAGCTGCTGCTAACGTTAGCTCAGCTTGTTTCTCTGATAAGATCCAGACATCCGATGACTAAAATCCTTCAACTGGTTCAAATCTAGAGTTAAAAAGCACCAAGATCTAAACAGTGGATGGTAAACAGTCAGTGTATGACAGCTTCTGATTATTGATTATTGATTGAATCAACTCCATATAGAACATAGCTCATTAATCAGTGTACAGCTATCTGACTAATCACCAGAATCTACTGAACTGACTTCAAATGATTTAAATGACACTTTTCCATCAGACAGCCTCCATCTCGTTGTGTTTGGGTTAGGATTAGCTTCCACATGCTGAACCTTAAAACTGTAAACAGACCTGAAAGCAGCTGTAAGATGTTCAGTGGAGTCACAGTTACTGTTGCCCTTGAGCCAGGCACTGTCCTCAGAGCTGCCATGAACAAGGAGCCTTCCTTTAGTGCAGAGCAGGTTTATTGTGTTTGGAGAACTGGGACAAAGTTCTGCTCTATAAAAGCAACTTTATCACCCACATGGTGAACGCAGTCATAAAATGAGTTTTACTCCAACAGAAACCTTCAGACTAACAGCAGAAACAGAACCTGCTGCTGGTTTTCATTTTCTGGGCTGTTAAAAACCTCCTTTATGACTCATTTAAAGGTCAGTGACTCAGACTGTAAACCTCCCAATCCCAATCCAAACCAAAAGAACTTGATTAAAGACTTGGTGAAGATAGTTTTTGTTCATTAGAATCCATGTATGTGCAAAATGTTTTTTATACATTGTATTTTATATTCACTGTATTCTATATACGCACTGTATTTTATATATACTGCATTGTATATACACTGTATTCTAGTGATGGGCCGACCCATAACCCGCAGGTCTCGCGGGTTACCCGCGGGTCGGGTTGGGTCGGGTTAGGTCGGGTCAAGAAATGTTAACTTTATTGGCGGGGCGGGTGGGGCGGGTCATTAAGGATTAAATATGTCCAATACAGCCTACTTCTTAACAACACTGTTGGGTAAATCCACCTGTGACCTGACGTCCCAAAAGCGCCTATATATATATTTATTTTTATTAAGATTTGAATTTGTTGTTGCCATTTTCCAGTGCCACTCAAAAGGCTGTTTTCAAGCACATTTGTAAGACCAAATAAAAGCCTTATTTAATGACATATTTTACGTGTATTTAATAGCGGCGGGGCGGGGTGTGGCGGTTTGTGAAAATAGATGCGGTTGTGCTGGGCGGGATGGAGCGGGTCAAATTATTAAATAAATGCGGGACCCCCGGGTTGGAAAAACCCCGACCCGTGCATCACTACTGTATTCTACTGTATATACGCACAGTTTTTATATAAGCACTATATCTTATATACACTGTATTTTATATACACTGTATTCAATTCAGTTCAATTCAATTCAATTTTATTTGTATAGCGCCAATTCATAACAGAAGTTATCTCAGGACACTTTTCAAATAGAGCAGGTCTAGACCGAACTCTTTTTAGCATTATTTACAGAGACCCAACAGTACCACCATGAGCAAGCACTTGGCGACAAGGGCAAGGAAAAACTGCCTGTTAAAAAGCAGAAACCTAGGACAGATCCTCCGGCTCTAGGTGGGTGGTCATCTGTCTCGACCAGTTGGGGTGAGAGAGAGAAAGAGACAGAGAGAGAGAGAGACAGACAGACAGACAGACAGACAAACAGACAGGTGCACAGCAACAACAGTATTGGCAATGGCAATCTAGCTGGACCATGGCAGGAGGCTCCACCAGGATCGATAAGAACCTGCGAGACGAGAAAGCACAAGACACACTGTATTCTATATACGCACTGTATTTTATATATACTGTATTGTATATACACTGTATTCTACTGTATATACGCACAGTTTTTTATATATGCACTATATTTTATATACACCGTATTTCATACACACTGTATTCTACATACGCACTGTATTTTATATACACTGAATTTCATACACACTGTATTCTATATACACATTGTATTTTATATACACTGTATTCTATATACGCACTGTATTTTATATACACTGTATTCTATATACGTACTGTTTATATACACTGTATTCTATATATGCACTGTATTCTATATACGCACTGTATTTTATATACACTGTATTTTATATACACTGTATTTTATAAATACTATTTTATACACGCACTGTATTTTATATACACTGTATTTTATATACACTATTTTATATACGCACTGTATTTTATATACACTGTATTTTATACACACTGTATTCTATATACACACTGTTTATATACACACTGTATTCTATATATGCACTGTATTTTATGGTAAATGGATGGTAAATGGGCCTGTACTTGTATATACAGCTGAAGGACGCTGCCACCAGGTGGCTGAAGCCGGGGGGATCCAGCGGTGAGAGGCTGATGCTGGAGCAGGTGGTGCTGGAACAGTTTGTGGAGGGGCTCCCGACCGGGACCGCAGAGTGGGTGCGGTGCCACCGACCGGCGGATTTGGAGGCCGCCATCACCCTCGCCGAGGATCATCTGGCTGTCCACGGTGGGGACCGAGCTCCGGAGAGGCGGCCCTCTGCACCCGCCCGACCCATGCCGGCGCCCCGCAGGAGACCCCCACCCCCGCTTACCCCCCGGCTGGAAACTGTTGCCCGGCCTCTCCCTCTGCCACGCAGTAACCAACCCTCTTCTCTCTCTCCTTCCCAGGGTCCAGCCGCTACGGGTGCCGCTCTCGGCCCACAGGGGGTTCCTCAGGCGTCAGGGCAGGAGTGTTGGCGGTGCGGGCAGCCCGGGCATTTCCGCAGGGAGTGCCCTCTCATGGAGGTCGGACAGGTGATCCGGGTTGCTGGCCCACCAACACCCTCCCCCGGTCCAGGAGGGACATACAGCGTCCCGGTAAGGATCCAAGGGGGTATACATCAGGCAATGGTGGATTCGGGCTGCACGCAGTCTATAATTCATCAGCACCTGGTTCGACCCGGGGCTTTGGTAGAGGCATCGTGGGTGGACATTAGATGTGTACATGGGGATATTCACAGATACCTGGTTGTACCCGTGGAAATTAGATATAAGGGTAAAAAGCATATTGTTAAGGCTGCGGTTAGTTCCCGCCTGACGCACCCCCTGATTTTGGGCACGGATTGGCCTGGGTTTAATCGATTGGTGGGGCAGTGTGCGGGGGTGCGTTCACGGCCGGTAGGGACATGGGATATGTGCGCTGTGCTCAGTGGTGACGCGAGGTTGTCCGACGCTGCAGAGGGGGAGGGGGGATCTGTGGTGCCTCCGCCAGAGGCTCCACAGGTCCCCATGTTGCGCTCCACGGAAGATTTTCCACTCGAGCAGTCTCGCGACAATACTCTACGCTTTGCCTTTGACAAAGTGATAAAAATTGATGGTCAGTTGGTGCACCCTGACGCAGCGCAGACATATCCGCATTTTGCATTGGTTAGGGACAGGTTATACAGAGTGAGTCGTGACACTCAGTCAGCAGAGGAAATCACCCAGTTGTTGGTGCCGGAAAGCTGCCGGGAAACAGTTTTCCAGGCGGCTCATTATAACCCAATGGCGGGGAATATGGGGTATGAGAAAACACGGATAATGGCCCGATTCTATTGGCCTGGCATTAGGGCAGATGTACGCCGCTGGTGTGCGTCTTGCCCGGAATGTCAGTTGGTTAACCAACCGGTGATCCCGAGAGCGCCTTTGCGCCCATTACCACTCATGGAGGTTCCATTTGAGCGTATTGGCATGGACCTCATCGGGCCATTTCACCGGAGCGCACGAGGATATCGTTTTGTATTAGTCCTAGTGGATTATGCAACTCGATATCCGGAAGCAGTGCCTCTGCGCACAATCTCTGCAAAGAGTGTGGCACAGGCACTGTTCCAGGTCATCTCCCGAGTTGGGATCCCAAAAGAAATCCTAACGGACCAGGGCACCTCGTTTATGTCACGTACACTCCGGGAACTTTATGGGTTATTGGGCATCAGGTCAATTCGGACTAGTGTGTACCACCCTCAGACCGACGGCCTTGTCGAGCGTCTGAACAAAACCCTGAAGTCCATGATCCGTAAGTTTGTGCACGATGACGGCCGAAATTGGGATAGGTGGCTAGATCCTCTGTTGTTTGCAGTGCGTGAGGTGCCCCAGGCCTCAACGGGATTTTCTCCCTTTGAACTGCTGTTTGGCAGGACACCACGGGGGGTTCTGGACCTTGTTAAAGAAAGCTGGGAGGAAGGTCCGAGCCCAAGTAAAAATGAGGTTCAGTACGTCCTGGACCTGAGAGCAAAACTCCACACATTGGGCCGGTTGTCACGGGAGAATTTGCTCAGGGCCCAGGAGCGTCAACAGCGCCTGTACAACAGAGGAACTTGGCTCAGACAATTTGCACCGGGAGATAAAGTACTTGTATTACTCCCTTCTTCCAGCTCTAAATTACTCGCCAAGTGGCAAGGGCCCTTTGTGGTCACACGGCGAGTGGGTGATGTCGATTATGAGGTTGGGCGTTCTGACAGGGGAGGTGCAGCACAAATTTACCATCTTAATCTCCTTAAAGCGTGGAGAGAGGCGGAGCCTGTTTCTCTGGTGACCACGGTGAAAGAGAGAGATGAGTTGGGGCCTGAGGTCCCAAATTCCACCAATCCTGCCTCACTCCATTGTGATGACCATCTCACACCGTCCCAGAGAGCAGACGTTGCCGCGTTGCAACAGCGTTTTGCTGATGTGTTCTCCCCCCTGCCAGGACGCACAAATCTCATACAGCATCACGTTGAGACTCACCCGGGCGTGACAGTGCGTTCACGGCCCTATCGGTTACCTGAACTTTTGTGTTCAGGTAACCGATAGGGCCTTCTGAAAGGTGGTTCAGAAGGAATTGAAGGCCATGCTGGAGATGGGGGTAATAGAAGAGTCCAACAGTGCGTGGTGTAGCCCCATTGTTCTGGTACTTAAGAAGGATGGGTCTATTCGGTTCTGTGTGGACTATCGCAAGGTGAATGATGTGTCACGGTTTGATGCTTATCCGATGCCTCGGGTCGACGAACTCCTGGATCGGTTAGGCACTGCTCGCTTTTTCACGACACTGGATTTAACCAAGGGCTATTGGCAGATTCCCTTGTCTCCAGAGTCTAAGGAAAAAACGGCCTTCTCCACTCCGTATGGATTGTACCAATTTGTCACACTTCCTTTCGGGTTGTTTGGCGCCCCAGCCAGTTTCCAGCGTCTCATGGACCGGGTCCTGCGTCCGCACTCTGCGTATGCGGCCGCCTACTTGGATGACGTTATCATCCATAGTAACAGCTGGCGGGAGCATGTGCAGAGTGTGGCGGCGGTGCTCGAGTCATTGAGGCAGGCGGGGCTCACTGCCAACCCGAGGAAGTGTGCAGTTGGACGGAGGGAGGTACGGTATTTGGGGTACCACTTGGGCAGTGGGCAGGTGCGTCCTCAGGTAGACAAGACAGCAGCAATTGCAGCCAGCCCACGGCCCAAGACCAAAAAGGAGGTGAGGCGGTTCCTGGGGCTGGCAGGTTATTACCGGCGGTTCATTCCGCACTTTGCAGACTTGACCAGCCCCCTGACCGACCTCACTCGAAAGGGTGCCTCAGATCCGGTCCAGTGGATGGAGCAGTGTCAGCTGGCGTTTGAGAAGGTAAAACAAACCCTCTGTGGGAAGCCTCTTCTTCACACACCTAACTTCTCTCTCCCCTTTATCCTGCAGACTGACGCTTCGAACAGAGGGCTGGGGGCCGTTCTGTCCCAGCAGGTGCAGGGTGCAGGTGTAGGTTAGGCCAGATGGCGCCCCGGCACGACTTGCTACAGCCCTTTTACACTACATGCCACATTCACCCTTTCACACACATTTACTCAGTGATGGCAAAGTCCATCAAACAGAAACTAATGCATTCATACACATTCACACACCGATGCATGGCATCGGGAGCAATTTGGGGGGCGAACCGCTCTGCCTCTGCGCCACATCCACCCCTTTTATATACACTGTATTTTATATACACTGTATTTTATACGTACCGTATTTTATGAACACTGTATTTTATACGCACAGTATTTTATATACACTGTATTTTATACACACTGTATTTTATATATACTGTATTTTATATACGCACTATATTTTATATAGACTATTTTATACGCACTGTATTCTATACACACTGTATTTTATATATGCACTGTATTGTATACACATTGTATTTTATACGCACTGTATTCTATACACACTGTATTTTATATATGCACTGTATTTTATACACACTGTAATTTAAATACACTGTATTTTATACACACTGTATTTTATATATACTGTATTTTATATACGCTCTGTATTTTATATATACACACTGTATTCTACACTGTGTTCCAGATTATTATGCATATACTGTTTTCGTTCTTTTTTTCCCTAAATAGTCGATATAATTGGCCGTCAATAGGATTTTTTATTCCTCAACAATTATATATCGTAATCTGGATTTTATTAAACACAATTACCAATGATGACAATGGCATTTTTTTGCTCAAATGCAGTGTTCCAAATTATTATGCAAAACAGTTTCAAAACACTTAATAGTTTCTAAATGATGAAAACAGAAATCTGTTGTATTTTTTGCATTAGGCAGGGCCGGCCCAAGGCATGAGCGAACTAAGCAGCTGCTTAGGGCCCCCTGACCCCTAGGGGGCCCCCAAGAACAATTAACTTAAAAAAAAAAAAAAAATTAATTATTTTTTCCCATGTGTGAGTGATGATGATTCATATATTATCAAATGTACATTCTTGTCCAAAAACCCCCCCCAAAAAACCAACAACAATATTATGTTAACAGAGTGTAGTTTCCTACTGCCTCTCTGCTCGAAATGTCAGAGCTCCGTTAGTAACGTGTGCAGTGCACCCAACCATGCAGTGCGCACTGAGCATCCAGGAGCTAGGAGCAGCTGAAAGATGTCGCAAAAAAGGACTTAACCTTCAGGGGCAGAAAAAAGAAAAAGGAAGAAAGAGGAAGAGGAGAAAAAACGACAAGATAAAAGTATGTCTTGGTAATGTAACATTTGGTGTCAAGGAGATTTTGATCATGTGGATGTTGACAATGACAGCCTTAGTAATGCATTTATATCATTAATAGACTCAATTGGCCCCTGTCAGAGTGTAAATAAACCAACTCATTGTTTTAATCACACTCTTGACCTTGTCTTATCATATGGCATTGATATTGAACATTTAATAGTCTTCCCACATAATCCTTTCCTATCTGACCATTATTTAATAACTTTTGAATTCATACTATTAGATTATAAGCCATTAGGCAAAACTTCCTACAGCAGATGTCTATCTGACAGTGCTGTAGCTAAATTTAAGGAGGAGATTCCTTCAGTGTTTAATTCAATGCCATGTCTGAATTTAACAGAGTCCTATAACGACTTTAGTCCCTCTGAAATTGATAATCTTGTCGATAGTGCTACAGGCTCACTACGATCAACATTAGACTCTATCGCTCCTATAAAAAGGAAATTATTAAAACATAGGAGACTAGCACCGTGGTACAACCACCAAACCCGCCAGTTAAAACAAATAGCTAGAAAATCTGAAAGGAAATGGCGCTCTTCCAAATTATCAGAATATCGCTCAAATTGGCAAGATAATCTTAAAATTTATAGAAAGGCCCTCCGTAATGCCAGAGGAGCCTATTACTCAGCACTAATAGAAGAAAATAAGAACAACCCTAGGTTCCTCTTCAGCACTGTAGCCAGGCTGACAGAGAGTCACAGCTCTATTAAGCCACATATCCCCATAAACTTAAGTAGCAATGACTTCATGAGCTTCTTCTATAATAAAATTATTACTATTAGAGAAAAAAATAATCACCAACTGCCATCAACAGTTATCAGTGGCTCTCCAAGTTCAGGGACTTCTGTCAATGTAAACTTAGATATTTATTTAGACTGTTTTTCTGCTATCGATCTTCATCAGTTAACTGACAGGTTGATGTTAAGCCATCAACCTGTC